GTCAGGGGAAGGATGGCAGGGGCAGATTTCCTCGCCTGTGTTATAAGTGAGCCATTGTGGAGCTGCCTGGCTGCGAACCGGCAGCGCTCCCCTTTGATCCGCCAGCCCGGGCAATTAATTGCAGGCAGTTTCACTTCCTGGGTTTCATGCAGCAAAGGCCGTGTTGCAATGCAAAGCTGCAAACAGTTGGCAAGTGCAATGCTTGCTTGGCATTTTTTTAATTTTTTTATTTAATTCGGGGTGATGTTTCCATTAGTCACTGATTGCACGGGGAAATTTATTTTCACAAAAAATTCAGACTGTGGCCCCAGCCTGACCTCCTATTGCCTATAGGATGTGCTCAAATACACAGGGCCTGGTGAGGGCAGAAAAGGGACACCAAAAAGTCTGAGAAATGGGTTTGAGGAGAGCGTGGTGCCACGCTCACACTGCTCCCCGAGTGCTTTTATGGTCTGGACGTCCCTCAACTGCACCAGACAGCCCCAGTCCCCCTCTCTGGGACGCCTCCATGGGCATCATGGCCATGCGAGGAAGGGGCTCACTGCCAGCCTTGGCCCGGAGCCCAACCAGTCCCCAAATTTTCCTGTCTTTGGGTGATGCCAGCGACACGAGGGGTGCAAACCCTGGCACAGCCAGTGCAGGGAGCACACACCCAGCAGCGTTTTCGGGGAGGTGCCACACGCTGACGGGAGCCCCGTGATGCTGGAAGGAAACTCCCACTGCCTGCGCAACGCGGGGAGCGCCTCAACGCCAAGTCCTCCAAATTATTTGGGTGCTCGCAAACCAAAATGAGAAGGGGAAACGCTGAACCCTGGGGGCTGTAGGGCTTGGGGGGTGAAAGCAGCGCACCCCTCCCTGCATATGAGAGCCTTCACCCCCCTTCGCGGCCGGCAGCTCCTCTTCCTCCGCAGCGAGAGCTGTGGGGAGCGTGTGGGAAGCGGCGCAACCCCCAGAAGGGCCGTGTGCTAATTAAATAAAGATAATGAGGCTGAGAATGAGATGCCAAATCAATGCTGTGGCAACTCAGGGCTAGAGCGCCAGATACCGGGGCTGGCGTTATTGCATTACAAAGCACGCCAAAGAAACTGCCTTCAGCCAGGCGGGATGAGCCCTGGGCTCCCGAGGGACCGGGATACAAGCTGCATTGTAACAGGTCTGAATGCAAGGTCTAATCCTGGCTCTGGATGGAGATAAAGAGGAGGAGGAGGAGGAGGAGATCTTCAAAGGCCGCTGAAAGTCTGGGGAAAGGGGGAGATTTACAACAGGGCTTATCCCATCTAAGCAGTAACTGGGTATTGTTATTTATTAAAATGCCATCTGGCACTCCGGAGCGCTCCTCGCTGGCACGGTGAAGCCTCAGCGGGCTCCCCGGG